TGAAGTCTACACACAAAACAGCTGGTTTATATAGACAAAAGTTGTTATGATGACGTAAGAGACAATCAAATACCTATTACGTCACAATCAATGCAATCAATACTGTAAGTTAGCGGGTTTTAACCATCAAAATTACCTATAAAATTAATAACGTTGTACCCATATGAAACATACAAAATACATCAATTTGTCTTTAAATAATACATGTTAAATTAATAAAGTCATTAAATCAATTATAGTTCATTTCCTTCGTTAACTGTTCATTGGCAATTATTTACGGAGTTTATAAACATCGGGTTCAAGTTCCATATATATTCTAAACTTGTAAACAAGAGTTAACCCGAATTTCACAGGTATACTTTGTAAAACGTAACAGTATATACAAATACTGATGCAGTAATTAATGTATAAATTACTGCATTTGTGTTTGTACGGTAATACACTATAATCACAAATAACAGTATTATTTCACATCATCCTTCTTTGAAAGACGTATTCACATGTATGTTGAAGTCGTGGAATTCCTTTTTCTACAAATACAGTGAAAATATTAACTCTGCGAGTTCATTTCCTGCTGTTCAGTATTTCTTTCTTTTATTAAAGAATAGTAAATGAATTTACTTTCATAATAACTTAAACACAGTTATGATAAGGCTGTCGGAAGGCCTAAAATGCAAAAAATAAACATTCTATTTTTGGCTAGATCTTAATTTAAACATGTTATCCTTGATAGAATTTGCAGTCAACTTGAAAGAGGAATTAAATCAGATATTATAATTAAGCATTCTTGTGATGTCAATTGACTTTGTTGATCACGTGACGTACAATTACACATGTATGATATTCTAAAATGATGCACAGAATCGTGTCGGTACAAGTGTAAAGCAAACTTAGATCGATTCGTTGTGATCTCTGGTACATACATGTACACTGAACCAAACTTCTAAGTGTTCACTTCACATTTTTGAAGTTTTAAAGAACAAATGCAAAAAAATAAATAATTTCTTTAATTCTTGGTTAATGATACATATTTAAGTTCAATGTTGCGTAAATTTCATGTAAGTATCTCATCAGAATTTTAAGCAAAGTGTCAAGGAAATGATGTACCCTCAAAATGAAAATTCGCACAAAAAAATCTCGATGGAGTAAGACCAACTACTCGTTCTAATTACTTCAAGACAATCTTTATTGTTGGATACCCTATACCCCTAAATAGGAGATTGACCCATCTGCCGCCACACCTACATGTGCTGCATACTAGATCTTTCCAAACCATTGAAATTGTGAGGAAAGGCTTTGACATTTCTTTTAAAATCCCAAATGTGTTCAAGTGGATTCAGATCCGGGAATTTGACAGTGTATCGTCACACAAATACCTTTTGGTCAATATCCTTGGGTGTTTAGCACGTAAGTGCGCCACTTTAAGGATAAGTCAGACTGCTTGAGCTGATAAAGGCTGCCACGAGCACCGATTTCTTATCATTTTCGTACGATTGAAATGGTTTGTTTCCATGTTTCTAAGAATTTTTCAGGACACTTGAACACTCTCTTTATCTGGTATAACGCGAAATTTTCTCCCAAGATGAATATTAAGGTCACTTCCGGTGTGGTTAAATTTTGTCAAAAACTTTCATGAGCACAGCCTATACAAAATTGTGTTTAAATAGGTTTTTGATATTGTTTGATAAATTTTAAAAGTAATATCAAGTACAATTAAGCACTAAAATTAAAATGAGTAAAACGTGGCGCAAAGATGGTCCAGATATCAATATTCCAACGGCTCTCCCCTCTACATCAATGGTTATTTTGCCAAGGTTTTGTGTTTTTTAGTGAAACCAGTTTTTAAAATTTGATAATGATCACAAAAAGATGCTTATTACACAAAACACGTGCTGCAAAGTACAGATTTATTGTTTTTAAGCTTCGTCACGGAACATTGGTTTTCATCGGTGATATTGAATTTTCTTTCTACAATTGCTGAGAAAACTCATTTGTTGTAATAGTGTGAAAATATCATACCATTCTTTAAGATAGTTTTTAAATAAATGCATTTATTAAAGTGAACACTTAGAAGTTTTGTTAAGTGTACATGTATAAAGTACTGGGGCAAGTCTGATTTTTACTTCAACTTACCAACAAAATAAAGGATAATTTCCTATCTTTATCGCGATTTATACAAAAAAGAATAAACTACATACAATTCCCTAGCAAAATTTAGCTAGGGGATATATTTCCCTTGTAGATTCATAAAAAGTATATCTTCAATTTATCCTTGTTAATCACTTGTTCCGGTCAAATATGAACATGTTTCATAAATTTTACATCTGTCTACGGACCTGTACTAGGAAAGGCAGCGTTTCATCTTCCATTTTTCGCTATTGTGTGAATAGAGAACACCAAACACGCAACGAACGAACGTATCTCGACGATATTAACCGAATTACTAGTTTATAAATACCATCACTCGCTTTAAAATATTTATTTTGTAATTATTTCAAAGGCGGATCCAGCACCGGCGCGCCAGGCGTGCACCCCCCCACCCCCACCCGATTTGATTTTTTAAAATTTTGTTTGTATTATTTTTCAATCAACAGGAAACACAAATGAATAGACGTATAGATATCTATTTTACAGAAAAGCTCTCTCTAGCGAATAAACCCTAAACTTTAGAGTTTATTCGTGAAACGTTTGCTGCTACACCAAGGCATTAGCATAAGTCTTCACCTTGTTTTGATTTTGTGTTCTATATGTACAGTCATCCGACAAAAGTATATGTAAAAAAATCAAAATGGTCGCCGCCAGGTGAGTAATATACAATGTAGGTTCCGATTAAAATTGAAACAAGAGGCAGAGGGGTCACATCCCTCGCCTGAACACATCGGCTAGGAAAAAGCACAGATCAAATCAGAACTGAAAAGTTAACTGAGGGGAATGTTCCTACCCTCCCTACCCTTAAGGACCAGGATTTGAATAAATTCGAATCTTCAATACAATAGGATGCTTACATGTCAAAATGACTAAACATAGCTTTTCTGTTCTCGGGATTTTTCCTTGATTTTTCTATGTAAAACTTTCATCGATCTTTGTGGCCTTACCCTATCCCTAGGGTTATGATTTGAACAAACTAAAATCTACACTAAGGAGGATGATTCCATATAAATATCACTAGTCATTGATTTGAAGTGCTTGAGAAGAAGATTTAAAAAGATTTCCCTATATATTCCTATGTAAAACTTCCATCAGAAATTGTGGCCCCGCCCTTCCCCCGGGTGTCATGATTTGAACAAATTTGAATCTACACTACCTGAGGATGATTCCACATGAGTTTCATCTTTCCTAGCCCAGTGGTTTTTAGAAGAAGATTTTTAAAGACGTTTCCTATATATTCCTATGTAAAATTTTGATCGGCCATTGTGGCTCCAGATTACTTAAGGGGGTTATGATTTGAACAAACTTGAATCTTCACTACCTGAAAATGATTCCAAATTTTATCTTTCCTGTCCAAATGGTTCTGGAGAAGGAGATTTTTCTTATGTATTCCTATGTTGAACTTTGATATCCCATTGTGGTTCCATCCTACCCCTTGGGGTGATGATTTGAACAAACTTGAATCAATACTACCAGAGGATGATTCCACATGAATTTCATCTCTCCTGGCCCAGTGGTTCCTGAGAAGAAGATTTCTAAAAGATGCCATTAATTTTTCAATTCAATTATCTCCCTTTGCAAAAGGGCTTGGCCCTTCATTTGAAAAAAAACAACAACTTTGATAACCTTTATCCAAGGATACTTTGTGGCAAGTTTGGCTGAAATTGATCAAATGATTCTTGAAAAGAAGATAACAATTTGAAAAGTTAACGACGACGACAACAACAACGACTAAAGCGACGACAGAAAACGGACAAAGTTTGATTAGATTAGGTGAGCTAAAATAAAATAAAGAAATGATAACTTAAGTATCTATTTTGACTTGGTATCTGTTATAGCTTTTTACGCAGCTAGGATAAGGCTGCCCGTAAAATATTAAACTGTTCAAACTGTAGTTACTTCTCTGAACTACCTAGATATGACGTCATAATAGAATATGACGTCAAGTCACTGCATACTTGAGCTGACATTACGGGGAAAGTGTCATAATTATAACACGGCATGTAGATTTATGATGGGGATTTGTGTTTAATTTAAGAGTAAGGGTTGTTTTTTTTAAGCTTGTGTGTGCTGTTATAATGTTTAACATTTGATATTTAAATGTCTCTATTCCCTTTGCTTGTCCGATATGCATATATTCAAGCAATAGCAAAAGGTTATGTTTGAAACGCTCCCCTTACACTTCCGTAAACAGAGTTAAAATTTATGAATCGTGTTTATATTGGACTGGCACAAGTGAAAGACAAGGATAAATTGAAGATATTCTGCGTGAATCTGAAAAAGAAGTATGTCTTCTAACTGAATTTTGCTGGGGGATCGTTTGTAGTTTATTCTTTTTTGCATATATCGCGATAAAGTGTGGAAAATACCCCTCTTTACGTTGGTAATTTTAATTTATCGTAAAATATTTTCTTAAGAATTAAAATTGAAACCTGCCCCCAGCACTTTTTATGTACCATGGATAACGATTAATTGATCTATGTAATAAACTTTGCACAACATTTTCGTTTTGCACTTGTGCCGAGGTGATTTTTGTGCAACATTTAAGAAGATCAAAAATGTCCGTCACGTGATCAACACAGTCATCTGACATCATAGAAATGCTTTATTATAATACCTGATTAAACTGTTATCTCAAGTTGAATGCAATTTCAAACAAGGATCACATATTGAAATTAAAATCAAGGTCAAAATAAAATGTATATTTTAAAGACATTTTTAGCTTTCGGACTGCCTTATCATAACTGCGTATTTAATTTCAGTTTTAAAATCGATTTTAAATGTTGTGTTAAAATGATATAAATTCATTATTATTGTATATTTAAATGTAATCAAAGAATGAATATACGTACACTTAAATCCTTCAGTGGAATCATAGTTAAAAGGACAGATGTCACACTTCTTAATATCTTCGATTACTTGTCCGATTCCTACGTTAAACTGGCTGCAGTGACGTCCTAAAAAAGTTTAGGTTATAAGTCTTTGATAGTAATGTCTTCTCAAACATCCTCATCTTCTTTTCTGAAACCGCCAACTAATTTGAACCAATTTTGTAATAAAGTATATTTTGGTAAAGGGAAGCAAATACTTGTGAATTTCACGGTCCCTGCCCCCCCCCCCCCCCCTCTTAGAGTCTGAGGGACCACCAAAATTAGTGCAATATTTAAAACCTTCTAATCGCATGGACATCAAGCAAATTGTTGGCATGATTGTTATAAACAGAGAATTATCTACCAAATTTGTAAAATTCATGTCCCCCGGGTCCGGGGTTCTGGTGTTAGGGCAGGGCTATACAGATCATATACATGTAGTAAAAGTGCATTATTTTTTGAAAAATATTCTACTCTGTCTCTTAAAATTAAACATTCTAACTAAGTTTATAGTTAGGATTAGCAAGAGAGCCTCTTCAAAAAATTGTGATATTCATGGCCCCTTGGTCATGGGTTCTCATGAAAGGGGGGGAGGGGGGGCTTCATTGAATTAATATCAATTTATTGTTTAAAAACTTAATTTTTTGAAAATCTTCTGCGCTCCTGGGTATTAAATAAACCTACCAAGAATAAAGTTATGATGAACACGAGTTCCTCAACCAGTTGGTGGATTTCAGACCCTGTTTAGAGTTCTGGTAAAAAGGTTGGACTGTATTGATTATAAAGTGAAAATACACAATACACTATTCTCCCCTGCTACTGGATATTAAACAAACTAAGTACATGGTTATGATGAGCAAGTTCCTTTACTAAAATTGCTAAATTCATGGCCTCTGGACCAGGAGTTCAGATGTTACATGTAGGAGGGGTCTATTGATTATATAGTGAAATGCATAAATTCTTTATACACCCTTTTCTCTTCTCCTTGATATAAAACAGACTTACTAAATACATATTAATGTTAGCAAGAGTACCTATTTGAAAATTGATAAATTCTCCGCCTTGGATCATCCGTTCTTTTGTAAGGAATGGGGGCTCTATTAATTATATAGAAAAAGTATATTAATTCTTTGAAATTCTTCTCCTCTCCTCCTGAGTATTAAATGAAGTAACCACGGATATGATTTTAATGAGCAATAGTACCTCTTCCAAAAGTTTACTTGCATGTCCCCTGGGTTAGGTGTTCTGATGTACAGGACCGGACCATTTCAAATATGTAAGTCAAGAACGATAATTGACAGTTGCTATAGATATACATCATATACGCGTAAATATTTTTCTATCCAATCAGACATCAGTATTTTTACACACCTCAAAACATATTTCAAAGGAACAGAAAGAGAACACGTGCTTTTACTTTTTCTTCAAAACAGATTTTTTGGACAAAATATCTTCAGAAGTAAGATAACAAGTCTTGTAGAATGAAGTATTCCCCACACATTTACATTGAACAATCTTAACATTTTCATCTTGTAAATAAAACATTAAATAAATGCATGAAACAATGTGATTGCTCAGGGAGGAATAGAAGATCAGACCGTCAAGTTATCATTATTTATACTTATGCAATTAAATAGATACCCTTTGTCGGTATGAATAATTTTGCTTAGCTGTCCGATTTTCATCGAATTCGCGTAGTTGTCATGGGTATAGGTCTATTACATACACGTGTCCATCGTATTGACTACATGTAGTTATACAATATCACGGGTTTCATGAGCACTGAATACAAATTTATTAATACATTCAATGATCACGGGTATTAAACGCCATGAGAAGTAAATGAAATTTTTTTTCCCCCATAACTTACTATGCAAACCAGACACTGGACGATTTTGTAATAAACACTCAGGAAATAATTAAAATAATAAAAATATTTTCATCCCAAAACAGTTGTATACCAGGCTCTAAAAATTGAAAATCTGCCGTATTTATAATTAAATTTTAACAAATGTTAGATTTTTTCGGATAGCTACCACATACTGACAGATTTTTGATCCAACTTGGAATTTATTCTAACGTTTGTTCATGATAGAATTGTCATTCATGCTGTTTCCTTCCTAAGTGTGCAAACAGTATACAAAAAGATTGATCTAAAAAAATTGTAGCAGAAAATTTTTTAAATGCCATTATCTGATTGGTCAATAGGATTAGCACCTTGTTTATGCTGTTTATATATGGGGATTAATGGTTATCGTTCTGGACTTCCATGTTCTGAAATCTTCCAGACCTGATTAATTATTTAATGAAAATACATTTTTTCTGTTAAATAATCATGTCTCATACCTTCTGTTGCCATATCCATTTAGCAAAGAAAGTAAATGATTTTAGTAAGGATATTTTTACCAGAAATTTAAACATCTGGCACATTAGGTCAAGTGTTCTGCTCCTGGTAAGGGCTATATAAATTTGTATTCTACTGCGAGAAGTTTTCCCTTTGCAAATCACATTTGATAATTAATCACTGTAAATGATGCATTTGAAAATTAAATAAAATAAGAGGATTTTACAAGAAGTGTTATTGCATAATGAAAAAAAATACAGTCGTACTTTTAATGAGCAGGTAAACTTATAAATAGTAGATAAATAAAGATGAAATAACTTTATAAAATGTTCTTTAAAGACCAAAAGAAGACAATGTAAGAAATAACATACTGGGCTTAAATAGAACAGAAAGCTAATAGGTTTTTCATAGTCAATGTGTATAGTAATGAATCAGGGGGGTGGGGGTTGGGGTTAAAACTTCTGATGTTACAATGTTACAAAATATCATACTAATTACAATGTAAATTATTGATCCTAATCATCCTATTTTTCTTGCTTTTGGGAAACAAAGATTCATCTACCAATATTCATCAGATGACCGTTAATGACTTTGGGCCTTTTCTATTTAAAAAAGCCCAAACCTTCTCATGAACATTTGATTATAATGATACATGTATTCAATATTTCCGAGTCTGAAAAAGTTTTTACCTGTGATTAGAACTTTCGGAGCACAAACTTCAAGCAGTCTCCTCCTCTCATGATCAGGTACGCAGTGATATTCGAATGGACCCATTGAGCAAGATTCGTATGGTATTGCTGAGCATCCTTTTATAAGGGATCTCTGTCGATATTCCATTCTACTGCGTGGGCAACGTTGCACGTACTTCAAGGACGCATTAGCTTCTCTACAAAGTTGTGTCTAAAGAACATTATAAAAAGATGATATCACTTGTAAACGATCTAATATTTTATACCTAGTCATCAATGTACAGGGTTTTAAAGATATCATTGAACAACAAACTTAATTATAAGAACATTTAATTGAGATTGTTTTGGAAACGTAAATAAAACAGAAAACATTTTTCCTTGGTAATATACAAGGGGTGTTCAAAAGGTTCGAGAAGTATTTTTAGATCCACATAACCACATTGACTATTCAGAACAGAATGACATATTCCATATGAATAGTTTTAAAAAAATCCAACCAGAGGTTTTTCGGCAACAGCAATCATCTGAATAAATGTGGTCATCACTCTACACTTGCTCAACAGATTTCCCGATTTGTAATACTAATTTTGGTCCATTTCTACCTTTAGGGCTCAAGATTGGCGCAAATGAAAACCTATACTATCTTTAGGTGCTTCTGGAGCTTGCAGACATGTTTCAGCTTTTCATACCGACAGAATTTTGAGATTGCCTGTCGTAACCCCACCCTATCCACAGCTCGTAATATTTTAAAATCTAAAATACCTGTACATTAGGAACATTTTGGATTTCAATTTCAATTTTCCTCGAACAATATTTTTGAAGTAATTTATAAATATTTTTCACATATATTTCATTGTAAAAATACATGTATAGGAGTTTAACAACTAATAAAAAAGTTTCAGCCCTCAAGTGGTTCTTGTGAAGAAGGTTTCATAATTACTACACCTAATTTTTGTTTTTTTTTTTTTATTCCCCCTCCTTTGTCTCGTGACTTGGATCCCCTCTACACAAAAGTGATTGTTCTGACTTTGGTTGAATTGGTCTAGTATTTACTGAGAAAAAAAAGTTAAAACTGTGAAAAGTGCACGGACAGGTAGATGATCAGAAAATCTTACTTGAGCTTTCAGAAATAGAACGCACAAAAATAGGATAATTTTACCATCTTTTGCTCCGTGTTTATGAGGCCCGATGCATTTGTCATACCCAAATTAACCTATCATGCTAATAAGATAAAAAGGTACATTAAAATGATTGTTAGTACTTTGAATGACCAAAATACAGTAAAAAATGTTTTTGTGGGGTCAAATATTCCACATTCTTTTTTTCGTTAATGGGGATTTGATTTTTGGTGTAAATCAATGCGATGGAATCTTTAGATAATGACTGTTACATGTATACTCTTTTTACTTGCTTATTCAGTGATTGATTTGAATGTCAAATTTTAAGAATACTCAGTAAGTATATTCTTTTTAACAACAACTTTTTTGGTTTTTTTAATGATCAATTTTATAAGTATTATTTTTTTCCAATCGTGTACAACTCTGGTACTTGTCCAATATGTCTGACGTTTTTCAGGCTCCTTTACGATTTCATTTTACTTGCAAGGAAAACGTCAGAACTGGCACGATTACGAAAAATAGAAATTTCTAAATTTTTCGGGGTGTAATCTTTATCATAAAATTGATAAAAGTTGCAATACCTAATAAAAATTGATCGTCAGTTGTGGCCTGGTCCTACCCCTAGGGTCATGATTTTAACAAATTTCTATTTACACAACCTGAGGAAGCTTCCATAAAATTTTCATTTTTACTGGCCCAGTGGTTCTTGAGAAGAGGATTAAAAAAAACTCCCTACATATTGCTGTGTTAATCTTTGATCAGCTATTGTGGCCCTTCTCTATCCTCGAGGTCATTATTAGTACAAAATTGAATATACACTACCTGATGATGAGTCTACACCCTGGCTGATTGGTTCTGAAGAAGAGTTTTAAAGATTGTTTTCCTTTATATTCCTATGTAAAACTTTGATCAGCCATTTTGATTCCGCCCTATACCCCCAGGAGTTATCATTTGAACAAACTAGAATCCACACTACCTGAGGATGCTTCCACATGAGATTTATATTTCCTGTCGAAGTTGTTCTTTAGAAGATTTTTAAAAGATGTCATTGCCTTTTCATTATTTTTATTATTATCTCCCCTTGGAAGGGTGGTTGATCCCTTCTTTTGAACAAACTTGAATTCCCTTTACCCTAGGATACTTTGGGTCAAGTTTAATTGAAATTGGCCCTTTTGTTCTTGAACAGAAGATGAAAATGCGAAAGGTTTACGACGACGACAACGACAACGACTACAACGGACAAATTTTGATTATAAAACCTCTATCGGGCCTTCAGCTCGGGTGAGCTAAACAGAAGCTGAGAAAACAGATACCTTAATAAATCAAAGATGGGGTCAGATGCCATTGCGGAGTGAGCATCCAGTCACACCTGCCATGTGCACCTTGCCATGATTGGGAAACAAAAAGAGAAATCCGTTGTCAATTCAGGGTAAAAACAATGTGTATCAAAAACTTCCGTCAGCATTGGACTCAATAATTAATTGCATTGTGGAAAAAGTCATTGTATCAACCAAAGAACTTACGAAATGATGTATTTAAACGCGATTACTGATATTCTTGTTTCATAAACTAGTTTGTCAATAATCTAGAAATTGTTCACACGTAGAACATGCTCCTGCTTGAAAATATCAGAGAATACGTTTTATCAATCAATCAATCAAATTTTTACTGCGGTTGTTCATATCAATCGTACGGGCAGTAATTATTGAACTGTTTGAGGATTTTCCGTTATTTTCCGATCATTACAAAGAGGACACGACTGAACATATATTTTTCGAGGGGTTGCTTACTCCTCTATGATATCAGATCCTGTATCCGATATTTTGGAGTTTTGAGATTGCTCCGCTCCAATTTTGTATTGTTTAAAAACTCTCGAGCGTCAACACATATTTATTTCATGAAACAATAAAAAATGGATTCCCGGATTGGCATTTATCATGTCATTTTTGTGGCTAATAAATCAAATAACAAATTTCTGAAATATTGAGAAACTTTCATTATTCTATCATGTGGAAAATGATACTAGTCGACAAAATTTACTATAGATATCTGCAAAACTAAGTCACTGTTATCTTTAACGTGAACTTTAAAATGAAATATATTTACGCAGAAAATCTTGCTCTTTTTTATTTTTACATAATTCAAGTGATGATTTTGTAATGTTTTGTGATAGTTTGTTTTTAATCCTTTGTCCGTGTTCTATACAAGAGAGAAAAGTATAATATTTCTTAAGTTTATGGTGGTTATTTGTTGTTTTAACATTTATCTTTTTAAAGCTCTTTTATCTACATTTAATCTGACAGTAAATGCTTAAAGAAAACCAAAAGGCCTTTAAATGTCAAAAAATACGAATTACCCTTACTTTCTTATTTGATTTTTGATCTTTTTAAATAAATTAATTTGAAATGCTCCAGATCGATAAATACATGTCTTGCATAATTTGATATCACAGGATGTCTCGTTAACTTTCAAAATAAAAAAAATATATATACTTAGGCACTTAGGCACGTGAACATTTAGAGATTTTTGAATGTAAAGTTTCGGTTCAGAAGATTTCAGCTTACAAAGGTACCAATCCAATAATCCTGTATTCGAACTTAAACCTTTCACTTATGTTTATACAAGTACATCAGTGCATCACAGAAAATCTAATTGAGTCTGATTACAAAATCTAAAATCTTTAGTATTTGTTCAAACATTACTTACTTTGAAAATATAACAAGGAGGCAGCTGACAAAATATCATTAAACCAGCAGAAAATTCCAAAAGTGTCATCATATTTGTTGTAGAACAATATTGTAGCCTAAAAATATATTATATATACAGGTACGTACATTGTCTTTGATTCTGTCAGTTTGGATTTTATTATTTTTTCTCTAACATCATGATAAGGAAAGTCATCTAAGCAAATCATTCAATGACTTTGAAAATATACAAAGCATTGCTGTCTCCTGCTTTTATTGTTCTAGCGGAACGAATACACTTATTTATGGCAAAGTGTGTTTAATTTGTAAACCCTATCAAATGTCATTCAAAATATTCATTAAAATCATTTTTAAAAAGAAAAGAATCAGTCAAATCAAGCTGAACGTGTAAAAAAAGAAATCATGGTGTACTTGGAAATCTCGTCACAAGTTGTTACAAGGCAAGAAAATGTGTTTGAATGTAAGTAAAACCTCAAGGTCACGGTCAGGTGCTCACAAATCATCTGGTATATTTTGACAGAATTTGGCAAATATAACATGAAGCAGTTTCTTTTTGCTTTCAAAACTTTTGACCAATTCACAGTGATGTTAAAATTTTAACAAAATACATAAAACATTCAGGGGAAGGGTTAGAAAAATCATGGTTCATCTGGAAAAGCCTTGCCACAGATTATATATTTAATTTTAAAGTCTTATCTCATAAGTTATTAGCAAGGTTATATTCATTTTGACAAGATGGAGAAGGGACAAACACATGAGACTTAATGCTCCCTTACTGTATAAAAACGGGGGACGAAATGACAAATCATAAATTGTAACGTGGAACCATTTAAAAAAATTCTTTATAGCACTTGATCCGAATTCTAGAAAATATGAAGGGACGTTCTTCCTCTGTTCGTATGTAACATTGTTGAAAGGATTCAGTAAACTTTCAAGCAAAATCAGAATGGCATTAAAAGTAAGTCTGTAGGTTACCAACCACAAGATATATCTAAAGTATCACTTTTTATAAGTTGTTACCACTTTTTACAATTACTCTTATATCATAATGCTTGCGATAGAAATTAACTGCTTTGTAGTATATACTTACAGTATCCATTTAATACATTTACGTTAGGCTTAACCACAGTTTTGTTAGTTGTTTTAAATATTTGCTCACTGATATCCAAGTATGTTTTTTCCAGCCCGATTTTCTAATAGTCTAATAGTATCAGAGTAATTTCATCCGTTTACTAGACTGTTCCGGGGGTATTTATAGAATATATAATTTAGAAGGTACACACGACGGACAAGTAATACCATGCAATAATTTATGAATGTCATAAAAATCTAGCCCGAAATTCATTCTGGTTGGGTTCTCATATTTTAGGAATTTAAGATAATCAAATGCTAGGGATTTTAAATTTGGTAAATTGAAAAGATTGCATAAAATCATGCTATATTAAATATCAGTACATTTATCATTTTAAAGTGTAACAATCGACAAATAAACTATATAATGATTAGCTTAAAGTATCATGATGAATTAACAAAGATACGAAATAAATTTTAAGCCGTACTTGATAGAATGTAAGTTCATAATATCTGATTAACTTACTGTGAGAAGTTCCTCCACTTCAACATGAAACACCGTGGGTTTTGCTACCCTTTAAATCCTTTTTGTATCTTTTTGTCTGAAATAAAAGATAATTGTCACTTATTTGTTCATGTAACCCCTTTTTTCTGTTAAATGACCTGTTGTTGTTTTTTTTTTATCTCAATAAGGTATTGAAATTCAACACGATAATTTTTTAACAGTTCAATAAATACTCTCGACAGGTGGCACCGACAATTTATAATAATTTAAAGAATCAATTGTCCTTCAATACACCATGTACCCAGGGCTTGAAATTTAAAAAAACTGAAACGCGACACCCGAATAAACAATCTAAAGAGGTTTAAATAGATATTTAAATAGCACATGCCTACCTATTGATTATCATGATTTATGGAATGTAAAATTAATATGATAAAATCAGAAGAAGGTAATTTCAGAAAGAACAAAATTAATACAACAGAAAATGATAATGTTTTTTTTTTCAGTTGGCGGTGTGGTTAAGTAGATGAACAATTATATTGGTTTCCTCTACTCCAAACTTATCAAATGCAGCAAATTATAGTGACGTTTTGATTTTTCTATGAACATACATGTATGTACATTCAAATAAATCTAAAGGTTTATGTACAAAAGCATGTAGTAAAATATATAAGATATGGTAAATCAAACGAGGTACGGAACTATGGATAATGATTTCCTAAATTGTTTCAATTCCCTAATTTTGTGAATTAAAACAAGGCCATTGGTACTAAAGGAGGCACAAACACTTTTCTCAATCAGTTGATATCAGCAATATGTTGATATATTTAACCCTCATGCTGACTGATCATAGAAAGGCTTTTTACCCTATATTCTGTAACACATATGTACAGATGCGTGTGGGGAAACATTCGTGGCCTTTTAAAATTACTTGTAGCACGGTGCTGGCAAAAATGTTTTTACACAAAGTGCAATCCAGTGAAGTTCAATTTTGTAAAAAATACTATTCCACTGCCTTCCATACTACCTCAACATTTTACCTATAAAGAGACATTACATAACCTGGCAAAGGGCTCCGTGAGCCATTAAAAGGCAGAAAGCGCTTACTATTCGCGTCTTTTGATTCTTGAATTTTTTTCATTGGATATACAAGGGTTGATCCAAAAGTTAGTAGAATTTCTTTCAAAAGTTAGGGCGAAATTCTTCTATAACGTGACGTGACATATATAACTTTATGTGGAAGTCTTTCCTGGGTTTCACAACTATCCATTATCATTTATCACTCAACTTGTTTTTCTTCTAGGAAGCGTTAACAGTCACTGTGATATTTTAGACTTCATACATATCATCATTTTTATTTTTCCCTGGTATTAATACCTTAATTGACACACGATGGTAGATTACGCTACTTTAAACTTTACAGGTAAATTGAAAGGTATACAGCCTGATAAAAATATGTTGTTTGTCACCTTGGTGTTAATACATTCACACACAATATAAGATTACGCCACCTTCAATAATTTCCACAGGTAACTTGAAAAAAGGCTAAGAAGCGTATAATATATGCAAACTGATAAAATATATAGCTTCAATTTATTTATCTAAAAACTTCTACCATAAATAATACGACAGCTGGATCTAATTCAAAGAGCATTAAAAGCGAGTTTTTTTTATATAGACACGCTCTAATAAGTCATGCAGCATATCATACGATTCCTGTTCGTTATTTCCATATCTTTCTTGTTTAACAGACTATACATTGCTGCTATCAAGTTTCTTGTCTTTTCAATGGTTTTGTTATGAATTCAGTGGTAAAGAATGTAATCTTTTTTATTTCATGATTGTGTCCAATGAACTATTCAATAAATGAAATCAAACTGATTTTTTTAAATGACAGAAGAAGGGAAAAAAATGATGTATTTCAAGTGTACATGCTAATATATTATGTGATTTTCCTAACATCAGCAAAGTTTATGTTATTTATCATTTAGACAAAATGAAAAAAATACATATGAATGTCAGCATACTTTACTCTATTGCTTTACTTTTTATTCAACTGCAAGACTAAAATTTCATAAAATTTAGATGAATTTGAGCGATGTTAAATTAATCCGACGCATCCATAAAAAACTCATTGAAAGCGTATAAATTTTCAGCTATCGTATAAAAACTAAATCTCTCTTGACAGATTTATTCAAAGGCATATATGTATAGCAAGTCATTACAACTCGGAAATGTCAAATTGATATATTGATGTATTATGTTTAGCTTTAAACTTGTGTCTGCGAATTTATGATCAAATCAGCAATCAGATATAAAGTGTTAAAGGGACAACACACGGCATATCAAATATACATGAGCAATAAGTCATGTGTGAAACAGCTGATTATCACCGATATGAATGTTCTATCGATCCAAAATATCAATTAAGTGCTCCCTTTCATACGTTAAAGTTACCTTTTGAAGTAATAATATTTAACTACTAACATTGATTTGAGTTTGAATTTTTATAGAAAGAAGCCAACAAACTTATGGTATTTTATCATTTAGTCTAATGGTACATGCATATGCATGTATTCATTACTTTAATTATTTAGCGGAATAAAATTAGTATGTTGTAATAGAACGCTAGTCATACCTCGCATTTCTTTTTTATAAGAACTACTTCTAATTTACAAATGCAGTATTCGACTTCAACTAACTCCGGACATTCTTATTAAATTCTTTTTTTCTTTGTCACTAATGCGTTTATTTGGTGTAAATGTAGCATATACAATTTGATTCTTGACTGAAAAGTATACGTTTTTCTTAAAATTTTAAATGCAGAGTAAAGCTCTACGGGGCTCTCTAATGTAAAAATCTGTATACTTTCATGTTCTTGATAATTTTAACCTTAAAAAAATATTAAGTTTAACGTACATGCAATTGCTTTCCTTACTAGACTTACCTTCTCTTTATGTCTTTCTTCTTTTTAATATACTTTGTATCACACTGTGTATCTGTATAGAGCGTTTATAACAACGTACAAGTACACGACTATTTACAGACTTTTTAACAGTAAATTCCGACCTAACCTAATCGAAAAAAAATAAAATTTGCAACAAAGAATTATTCCGCATCTGTTGAATTATGAAGGCACGTTGCATTCAATGGCATGTCCCGTTTAATTGATTTCCTTTTATTTTATCGACCTGATCAATGTGTGTGGCATCATAGGTCCCATATTAAGTGTCAGCAGGAAAATCAAAGCAGTAATTTATTAACGATTTTGGTTTTGACTATAGATTTACAAAAAAAGCATCGTGAGTAAACATTGTTATATGAGATTATTTTACCAAGATAAAATGTTCAATTATAATCACTCAACGGGTATAAGTACAATCTTTGGAAAGACCGTTGTAAGGATTATTTAGGTATATCTAAGGTTGCTGTTTCACACAGTATTTGTCAAAAGTATGTGGCTGTTGTCAAGTACTTAATCTTGATATCGATATGGGTAGAAAATGACAAGATTCC